CACTACTATTGCCCCCGTTTCACAGATAAGGAAATTGATGTACAGAGATAGCAAGTAACTTCCTTAGAGTCACACAGCTAGTAAGTAGGATGACCAGGGTTTGAACCCAGATAATGTCTAACTCCAGAACCCTCAATTTTAACTATTTTCCTGCCTTTTGGAAAAAGTATTGATAAAATGTTCCTTTGCTCTAAAATCTCTGTTGAAATTCAACTATTTATAGAAATGTCACTGAGTTTTATAGCTGGAAGAGATTATTCAGTTAGTTCAATTCTTATCCAAATGGACAACATCTTGGACAACTACTCCTGAACAATTCTAGTGATAAGGAACTCATTACAGCCAGAAGCAGTCACTATCTGACAGTTCTAATTGCTAACAAAAACAGTGAAATGTTGATTGCCTTCCATGTGCAAGGCAATTTGCTAGAGCATGGAAGAAAAATTCTTTAATATGTTGAGGCCAAATCTGCATCCTTGGGATGTCCTCCCACTGGGTTTATGTTCTATGCTTTGGAACAACCCAGAATGTGTCTGATGTGTCTGTGATTCCCTGCATTTCATGACAGCCTTTCATAAATTTAAAGACAGCTACAAAGTTCCCTTTAAACTTCCTTCTTCCTTGCTTATTCAGTCTGTTCTCATACCACAATCCCTAGGTGAGACTCATTTTTCTTATTAATAAGCTTCTGTTTTAAAATGCAAATGTGGGAGGGCAGCATATTAAGCTTTATCTGATGCTTCTCTCCCGTTGAACTATCTTGAAGGAAAGGAAGTTTCAATTTAGGGAAATGAGTGGGGAGGGTTCTGAGATCAAAGGCAATTGGAAGCATGGCTCAAGTGCTGGCCCTAGGCTTGGACAGGATGTTGATGTAGGAGCCCTGGGTAGGCAAAATGCAGCATAGAAATCCCAAGCTCCTAAGGCCAAGTGGGGTGGCTCACACCTGTAATTCCAGCACTTTTGGTGGGCAGATAGCTTGAGCCCAGGAGTTCAAGACCAGCCTGGGCAACATGGCAAAACCCCATCTCTCCAAAAAAAAAAATTAGCCTGGCGTAGCAGCACATGCCTGTAGTCCCAGCTACTTAGGAGGAAGCTGAGGTAGAAGGATTGCTTGAGCCTGGGAGGTTGAAGCTGTAATGAGCCAAGATTGTTCCACTGCACTCCAGCCTGGGTGATAGAGTGAAACCTTGTCAAAAAAAGAAAAGGGAAAGAAAAGAAAAGAGAAAAGAAGGAATCCTAAGCAACTAGAGACAAAGTGGACATGCTAAGAGTTAAAAAGCAGCAATCATGATGAACATCTGTTGAGTAGTGACTATACGTATGCAGGGCAGTTTACTTGGAAGGCTGAGATGGGAGGATCATTTGAGCCTGGGAGGTCAAGGCTGTAGTGAGCCATGATGAAGCCACTATACTCCAGCCTGGGTGACAGAGTGAGACTGTCTCAAAATAAAATAAAATAAAAGTGTAATGAGACTTTACTACTAAAAGCTCTGGGATAACATGATGGAATTATAACACAGGAAAAAGCCCTGAAGCTGGGTAAATCAGCCTGTTACCAGAAATGCTAGCCAATCCCTTTCTCAACATCCTCTGTTGAGCAAATCGCATGTGCAACTTCCAGCCAGGTTGCAGGGAACAGTTTATGACAGCCCTTCACATAGCCATTGGTACCTGTGAGCCACCACCTACTGTAAGACTGAATTTGCTCCTCCCAGAAGGTGAAAGTCTATTTGCAGAGATGTTGTGCACCCAAAGGGATATTATATGAGCAGATTAGCTCCTTAGGACCTCAAGTCTTGGCATTTCTAAATAGGAATTTGACTTTACCAATGGATAACCCAAGGGCCCATTAAAATTTTTTTTTCTTTTTAACCAAGACAATGGTGTCCTTCTCCTCTATCAAAACTGGAAATTATATATCAAGTCTCAGCCAGGACCTTAGTATACAAATCACACAGTCACACTGAAAATAATACTTTTTTTTTCCTTTAAACAAACTAAAAATGTCTAAAGAGGATACATTTGGACATTTTCTCACTTGTATAGAATCTGGAATCATACATTGTAGCAGACCTTGACTTAACTCTTTTTTTTTTGTTTTTGTTTTTGAGACAGAGTCATGCTCTGTCACCAGGCACCAGGCTGGAGTGCAGTGGCGCAATCTCAGCTCACTGCAATCTCCACCTCCTGGGTTCAAGCAATTCTCCTGCCTCAGCCTCCTGAGTAGCTGGGACTACAGGCGCGTGCCACCATGCCCAGCTAATTTTTGTATTTTTTAGTAGAAACAGGGTTTCACCACGTTGGCCAGGATGGTCTTGACCTCTTGACCTCGTGATCCGCCCGCCTCAACCTTCCAAAGTGCTGGGATTACAGGCAGACTTAACTCTTACAAGCATAATGTGTTCAGTTTCATTTCATTATTTGGGATCTCTTTCTAAATGATGATGATTATAACTGAGAATTTTTTAATTATAAGATCCTGTGGAAGTCCCTGAATATCCAATACTTTTGGGTTTGAAACCATAAATTGACACTTTAAAAATACATTAAAATTGGCTCTAATGGTTAGTAGAATTTTAAGAATACACACACAACTCTGAACTTATATGAATGCAACTTTGACACTGATGAACATTTCCAGCATCTTCCTGGCAGAGATGAGCTGGAGAATGAAAGAACCCAGACAGCAGAGGGACCTGCAAGAGGGGAAACGAAGGTGTGGTTTCGGTGCCTGGCTTCAAAGGCTGGAGGCAATCATAAGCCTAACCCATGTTTTTCCAGATAGACCAAATTTCTGTAAAGACAGAAAAACCCCAAACAGCCAAATTAAAATTTCCCCTGCATAACTTTTTATTTAATAATGTCTCAGTTTCCAACTATCATCATCTAATCTTTGTGATCACACTGATGAACCAAGCACAGTCAGGGTGAGGGAAGGGTCTAGTACAGCTCAGGCACCCCAGCGTTTTCATTTTCATCCCGGCCTGTTTTCATTCTCTTTACTGAAGTGTCGGCTCCTTGATGCACTTACGCTTATTCATCCCGTTACAATTAAGGACCAAAATGAATAGCCTAGAGAAAAGATTTCTTTCCTTCTAATAAATCATTCACTAGATAGAACTGAATACATTCCAATATTGATAGCTGGTTGCATATTTGAACTCCACTGTGTAAAAATCAGATAGTTCACATTTTCATGGTTCTCGGATTCTCTTGTTAACAGATCTCCTTCCCTGTGTGCCCAGCCAAGGGCACAGGCCCAGAAACTTCTCTGTTGCCTTGCATACACACTGCCTCAAAAACACACAGTCCACCTACTGGCAGTGACAAAGACTGTTCTGTTGGGGAAAGAAGTGTTAATAGAGATAATAAAATCACTATAGAAATTTTTGGCTGGGCTTGGAGGCTCATGCCTGTAATCCTAGCACTTTGGGAGGCCGAGGCAGGTGGATCATGAGGTCAGGAGTTCAAGACCTGCCTGGCCAAGATGGTGAAACCCAGTCTCTACTAAAAACTACAAAAATTAGCCAAGCGCAGTGGCAGGCACCTGTAATCCCAGATACTCAGAAGGCTGAGGCAGGAGAATCGCTTGAACCCAGGAGGCTGAGGTTGCAGTGAGCCGAGATTATGCCACTGCATTCCAGCCTGGTGACAGAGTGAGACTCCATCTCAAGAGAAAAAAAACAAAAAGAAATTTTCTAGACAGATTCAAATTTGAGACTTTGACTTAAAGGATCTATCAACCTTAGGCTAAGTTTATGACAATCACAAATACAAATTATAAGCTCAATTCTCCTTCAAGCAAAATAGTTCCTTTTGAAATCCAGATTGACTAATTACTCAGTACTGCTAATTCGCTTTGAGAGTCTTTTATAGAGTTTTTGTGAAGCTCCTCTGTGATTAAACACTTGCAGTGAAGACAAGCTCACTAACTCACAAGGTAGCCCATTTCAAAATGTTGACAACTGACAACTGTGAGTTAAAAAGCTCCTCCTGGGCTGGGTGTGGTGGTTCATGCCTGTAATTCTAGCACTTTGGAAGGCTGAGATGGGTGGATTACTTGAAGTCAGGAGTTGGAGACCAGCCTGGGCAACATGGTGAAACCCCATCTTTACAAAAGATACAAAAATTAGCCAGGAGTGGTGGCACACACTTGTAGTCCCAGCTAGTCTAGAGGCTGAGGTGGAAGGATCACTTGAACCTGGGAGGTCAAGGTTGCAGTGAGCTGAGATCATGCCATTGCACTCCAGCCTGGGCAACAGAGTGAGACCCCGTCTCCAAAAAAAAAAAAAAAAAAAAAAAAAAAAAGCTCCTCTTTATACTGAGCCAAATTGATGATCTCCTGTAGCCTTTACCAATTTGCTCTTACATCTTCTCTCTGGAGAGATACAAACCTAATTCCTCTACTAGACAGCTAATCTCTTTATGTGATTCTCTTAAAAGAAATTATAGTGACTCAGTCTACAATTCTATCAAGGATATAATAAATCCAATACCATTCTCTTCCTTTCAGGGGTAGAGCAGGCTTTTATGAGTCCACTTAATATGCTAAAAGAAGGGGAAATGCTCCTTGTCACCAGCAGGCCCCAGTGCTACAGCCCAATTTAAGGCCCCAGTTTGGTAGGCTTGCCCTAGATGGTCAGGAATGGCTGAGAGTCTGGCAAGGGGCAGCGCTGAACAGGCAAGTCTCTCTGGGATTTTCCTATAGAGATTGACCTTAGTCTGGGTTAGAGGTTGCTGATTCTCCATTTTGTGTATGTGTGTGTGTGTGTGTGTGTGTGTGTGTGTGTGTGTGTGTGCGTGTTAGATCTGGAAAGTTTTCCACAGTGCCTGAACCTGAGGGTTGGATTTAGTAGAAATCAGGCAGGCCTAGTAATCCATATTTTAACAAGCACTCCAGGTATTAATGATCTCACTACAGTTTACGTTTGAAGAAACACTGATGTAAGCAAAGAAATTTTTCCTTTCTGTGGGAAATAAGATGAGCAAAAAAAAAAAAATCTTGTATTTTTATTTAATTTAACCATAAGTCACACACTTAACATTTAACTTATTGGTCTCATCTCTTTAAATTAAATTACTAAACCTCACTTCATAAGTTACTAAATCTAATGTTATATAAATAATAGAAATAACACTTTAAATCATTTATTGTTCATTCATACTAATCATTAATTAAGTCTATCAAAATTCTTCCAGAATAAGGAAGGAACTAATAGCATCATTTGCAGGTTACAGACTGATAAACTGAAGTGATTGTTGGGAAATATTTAATATAGGTCTTAAGAAGAGTGCCAGGCTCCTGAATTGCAGCATGTTCACTGTTTTGGATTGTCTAACAGAACAGGGCCTGAGGCCAGAGTTGAGGGAAAGCACATTTTGGTCCCACAATTAGCTGATCAACCTTGTGACTGAGGTTAACACATAAATCACACCTGGATAAGCACCTCTACACACATCCTATGCAACTCTGTGGGAATATTTAATACAGCTACAGAAGGATTCCAGTACGCAGGTTACAACAAGTTAAAACATTTCACAGGAGTCTAAATACCTGAAGAGTTTAATTATGAAAAAAAAAATCCTTCTTTCCTTTGAGAAAACAGCTTCTTTCCAAAATAACTACTGTGGTTCTTTTACAAATATAATATAAAAGGTACCTCATCTCTAACCCATCTTTAAAGTAATGCTATCCCAAGGCAGCTCTATTGACCTTGTTTCCTTGTGGCAAAGTGAACTCATGTCCTATCTGACCAGCAATTTAGCACTTAGTAAACTGACAAAAAAAAAGTTGAGCATAAAACTTAGAAAAACGTTTTGGAAACAGGAATTTACTTTCCTGCTAAGACAATTCATGCATGTTTTTACAAAATAAACTTACTTTAAAATAAATGTAGCAAGAATTATCTAGGTTTCATTTTCTGTTAGGGACGAAGACCTTCTCTGGTTCACTGACCTTCCTCTTCTTCCTGGAGCACTCAGAACTTTGCTGACTGCACACAAAATTCATCCTTTGAATCTGTGAGAATCACCAGAGAGAGGCACAATTCAGCAGAGATTTTTGACATCCGCACAAGACATATATTAGACAGGTAGACCAAGCATTAATCCCTCAAGCTGCATAACGGATCCCAACCTGCTTTCCTGTGGGCTGGTTTGGCCCTGCACAGAGGCCTTGCTGCCAGTATCAGAGTCTGGTATTCCAAATTTCAGGAGCTAAGTTTCCCTTGGAGGCAGCCAGCTTCTGGGACAGTTTCTTGGCTCTCTCCAGTGAATTCAACACATCCAATTCTGGAGAGAAGGCTTGTCAAGGTGTGGGGCCAAGAAGGAGCAATTAAGGTTCAGGAGAGATCTGGGACACTGATTGCTTTAGAGGCAAATGTAATTTAAGTCCCAGTTTCAGGTAGTAGAGACATACTGCCTTGTCTTTTCTATGGTATGTTCAGATTAATGAATTAAGAAGAACCATAATCTTTCTGCTGAGGAGTATGTTATTGGTGAAAGGGAAGTTGGTTAGTGAATCATTATAGATATATATTTTGCCATTGAGTTTGGCTTTGCTAAAGATTTTATAACTTATTTTTGCTTAACTGAGTGAACAATTAGATATAATCTGTGAAACAATCCCTAATGCCTGGAATTCCAAGAAACACATAGAGGACACTTATATATTTTCCAGCCACTAGATGGGAGGAAAGGTTTTTCCATGTCCTATGTTTTCTCTTTGGAAGGAAAATGGAATAAGATATATATTTTTTAAAGCAAAACTTGTGAGAATATATAGTAGAAGTTCCAAAATTATCCTTTTTGTCTTTTCTAGGAGAGGCATGTTATTATTTAATTGATATGTTATTATAATAAAATAGTGGAAGTGCCAATAAAACATTTAAGTACCATTAGAAACAAAGATTGGGTGTCAAATGGCTAATTTAAGCACTAATTCATCCTTTAGTTTTAGAAAGCAGTTGAATTTCTGATCTCAGAAACCACAAATTCCCTTTGGCTTATATTAAGACAGAAGCTATATAAAACTCTGGGAAAATAAATAGAGCAGCCCATCAAATAGCTTGTTTGCTTATACATGTAAAAATTTGAAATGGCCTGTTGTAAAGAAAAGGAAATAGCAACATAAAAAATTAAAGCACAAAAACTAAGTTGTTATCTAGGAGATGCATTTGTTATGGTTTGACTCTAGGAAAAGTATCTGGTAAAAGTTAACTTGTCTAGAAATGTTGCTTGGGCATGCTTTCCATTTAAACCAAACTATCCTCACTTCTATCAAATCTAGGTACACATGAAAGAAGAGAAGATGAGTGTACAAATTCTCAAATGACCAGTTGAACTGGTGTTTTAACAGTTTTTTCTCTTTTTCTTCCATTGTTCAAATAAATCAAAGTTTAATTACAGGTTGCAGAACTGTAATTTTATTGCAGTGAGTCGAAACATCTTCAATAATGAAGGTATTTTCAGTATCTTCAATATCTCAAGGTAATAGTGAAGCCTGGGAACTCTCAATAGTTTATAGAATGTTAGTGGGCTGAAAAACAAGTATGTTATCAGTCAGGGGATACTTCTTAGCATAGACAAATAATCTATACAAACTACATAAACCAACAAATTTATCCACAGAAAGGAATATTTGAGAAACATTTTTCAGGTGTATTCCAACTGGCTGAATTTGTATACTTGGCACTAAAGCCAACAGCCAAGCAAAGGGCCAGAAATCAGGCAGTCTAGAAAGATTATCTGGATGATCTGAACAACATCAGATGATCATCAAATGACTTCTAATACATTTCATATTATATTTTAAACATACACCTTTTGAAGTATTTCTTTTTTCTTTTTCTTAATTATTAAGTGTTTCTTGATGCAGACTAACAAGAGGTTGCTATGATCTGTTTGCCAATAGAGCCTCAGGAGTAGAGTATCCACATACGTATCTGAAAAAAGCCCAGAAGATATGCTTTCTGTATATGATGTTGCCCTATTTTCCATCTTTGGTTTAGTAACATATTCTCCATTTGAGAAGCCAAAAAGCAGGCTTTGCCTTAGGCACAAATAGGATAGCCAACTGATTTGGTAGCAGTATTTGGGAAGTTCTAGAAGGGATTCCTTCTTCTAAATCATCACTTATTCCTTTATTCACTCCCTTAAAAAATGCTTGTTACTTGAATGTTCTCCCAGAGTTCTGTCTTTGGCTGTCTTTCTCCTTATTCTCCACACCTTCCCTGAGTGATTTCATCTACTTCCAGGAATCAATTACCATTCATAAGCAAAGACCCCCACATTTATGTTTACAGCATAGATCTTCCTTCTGAACTTCAGATCCATGTGAGTATCCAACTGCCAACTAAAAATCTCCACATGGGTATTCCAGAGAAAACTCAAGTTCAGTCTGCCGAAATTGAAATTCATCCTCTGCTTCTCTAAGCCTGTTCCCAATCATTGTTCTCACTCACCCAAGGTGTCCCAGTTAAAAACCAGAGACTTATCCATGACTACTCCATCATTCTCTTGCTAGCATCTAATTGATCACTAATTCCTTTTGGTCCTACCTCCTTACTGGCTCTCAAATCCATCCATTGTCACCTATTCCCATGACTTCTTTAGTGCAGGCAAAAATCATCTCTCCCAATCACTCCTACTCCCACTGTGACTGCTTCTCTAATCCATTCTCTACTCTGGAGCACAGTCTTATATGCAGATCTGACCACATCGCTCTTCTGCTCCATCAATCATCCATTAATAACTTCCCATGGACCTCAGAATAAAGTCCAGGTGCTTTATGGCTGTGGCCTATTTCTGCAGCTTCATATTCCCTCACACTTAACCACTTGCAGTTCTGATGGGCCCTGCTTGCCCCACTCTGGACTTTGCCTTTAATGCCCACTCCCATACTTTGTTCCTCCCTTCTTCATTTGGTCCAGGGGCATCTCCAGAGTTTCTTCTGCCTGCCGGGCTTCCCTGACACCCAAGGGCTGTGTTCTGCTCTTACCCACTTTGTAGCATTTACTATGTAGTATTATCAGGCCTACTTACTAGTCTTCCCATCCAGAGTATAAACTCCTTGAGATTAGTGCCATTTTTTTTTTCTTTTTGAGATGGAGTCTCACTTTGTCACCCAGGCTGGAGTACAGTGGCACAATCTCAGTTCACTACAATCTCCATCTCTCAGGTTCAAGCAATTCTTGTGCCTCAGCCTCGCAAGCAGCTGGGATTACAGGCACCTACCACCATGCCCAGCTACTTTTTGTATTTTTAGTAGGGACAGCATTTTACCAGATTGGCCAGGTTGGTCTCAAACTCCTGATCTTAGGTGATTTGTGTGCCTCAGCCTCCCAAAGTGCTGGGATTACAGGCATGAGCCACCATGCCCAGCCCCAATATTTTAATCATCTTTGTATTCTCAGTTCCTGGCATCTAGTAGATGCTCTTTAATTATTGGCTGAATGAATGAACAAATAAATTAAATTGATTTTAAGCTAGGCCATGAGCAAGGCACTAAAATCATATCTCTAGTAATACAAAGATCAATGAGACATAGTTGGTTTCCCAGAATTGAGCCTTGTAAAGGAGAGACATTAAGTATACAATTACAATATAATGCAATATAATGTAATGCCAAAATAGTCAGCAATTCATTCAGCAGTTATTTATTGAGTGTCAGCTATATGCATGGCACTCTTTGAGGTGTTTGGGACAAATCAGTGAACAAAAGAGATTCCTGCCCCATGGATTTTACAATCTGGCTGTGTTACTTTTTGGCTTCATACTTTCCAATGGCATCCATTGCTTTTAGGAAAAGTCCAAAAATGGCCTTTCATAGCCCAGATATGGTTCTTTACATTTTCAGGAGAGGGAAAGTGTCACAGACGCTGATGAAAGCTATGTACTCTCTCCTCAGAAAAATGCTTACACCTCCACTCACTCATCTGTTTTGGAAGGCTGTTTGAGGCATTACTAGAACCCCTGAGTACTTCCCAGTTAGAGTTATGACTCCTCAGGCCCTGGCTGTGCCTAGCCTCATACCTTGCTTCTTATACCTTGGTTCCTCTTAATTCTGAACCTTTGCACATGCTATTTCTTCTGCCTAAAATGTTCTTTCCCCTCCTCTGCCCATCCCTTTTTGCCTAGTTGATTCCTGCTCATTCTTTCAGATTTCAGATAAAAAATTATTTCCTCAAAGAAACTTTCTCCATCACAAATAAGTTAGGTCTCCCAATCATAGAACTGTATAGAGTTCTAGGAGATTAGGAACATGCATGTCTTGGTTACATTTGTATCACTAACATCTACCAAGTGCCTTGACATAGTAAAGGTTCAATAAATACTTTTTGATGAATAGATTTTCAAAGAGCGCTCTGCCTGAAGTGTAGAAATGTATTGGAGACATCAAGCAGATACAGGTGATGAGTCTGCTATAGTGGTAGACAGGTGATAACTTGCGTGGCAGTGGAGACGGAGAGAAGTCAAAATTGAGAGATATATTTGGGAGATAGAGTCAGAAGGATGGCCAATTGGATACCATGGTAAGAGAGAGATAGATGGGTCAATAATAACTCCCCAGTTTCTACTTTAGCTAACTGCGTGGATAAAGGTGCTGTTCTCTCAGGTTGAGAACAATGGGAGTTTTGAACCTACTGAGTTTGGAGTGCCTGCAAAACCTCCACGTGGACAGGTTGAATTGGTGGCTATATGTGGAAGTCTTAAGTTCAAGAAAAAGGTCTGGGTTAGACATGTAAATTTGAAAGTCATAAGCATATGGAGGGTAATTAATGCTATGGGTGTGGAAGAATTTGTTTATTGAAAGACCAGAGCGTGAAAAGGGAAAGAGATCAGGACATAGTCTAAGGAACTCCAACATTAGAGATAAGTTAGAGGATGAGCCAACAAAGGAGACTGAGAAAGAGAGAGACAAAAGGAGATAAGCAGACTGGCATGTTGAGAAAGCCAGGGGGTTTTAAGAAGAAAAAGAGGAGAAATTAAAAGGGGGTGGTCAATAGTGTCAAGTGTTGC